GGAATAGACTCGTAAAGAATTATTTAACGGCCTCTCTAGCTTTACAAGGTAGGGGTAAGACTACGTACATGGTACCCTTCACGAACCCCACAAGTGGGATTACATTGGGTATTTGTTGTTGTTGTAAAATGGGAAATAAGATATACTCATGGCTGATAGTCATGTGGCATTCTTTTGTGAGTTACTTATCACCTATCGACATTGCCCTTCTAACATAAATGATGGGAAGATACAGAGATGGGGCACAACAAGAATATTATTGACGTGACAGTTAGGATTCAGCCGGTAGATATGATAATAAAGGGTATGTATCATAACAGACTTCCAATAATGATAGTTTTTATGGAAGGTGTTTGATAAATTTGATTCATTTGGAGCCCAACTGAAGTTATGTTGGTCTTCTTGTAAAGATAGCATAGAGCGTATCTGGCATCATATGCGACAGCCAGATTCGAAAAAGTAAGATGCTTAATTGATTCTCTTGTAAGGTAGTAATTGAAAAGCAAAATCTGTTGGCTACTCTATTATCTGCTCCCATGTTAATGTCCTATGTGCAACATGAATTCGGTGTTCAAAACTACAATTTTTTGGTGAATCCTTAGAATACATGCTCAATATTTAATGGCAGTAGATTAGTACTTTAGCATTTAACTGAAATAGCAACAGTTTCCTGTAATGGCATCTGTTAAGTGCATGCTTATTAGAGAATCTCTTGAATTATCCATTTTAGCTAAATTAGTAAGCTCAAAAATACTTTCTATGTTTTATGAATCAAATAATGAATGAACTATGCATTATTATTTCCACATGTCTAGATTTGCAGGGCCTACCAGTTTGTTAGTAGTATAGGGATAAAGAGGTAAAACTATAGTCGCATTAATCCTGTCCATTAGTGGTATTATCTTATGTTAAATTTGTATAGCATATCTGAAATGTTTACTGGGCTTTAGGCTCTCCACTACTTGAAAAGTTATGCTAAAGCTTTCTGAAGTTAAATTATACCTAACAAGGTGTCTTGACCAATAGATGGATTCAGGTGTCACATTGAGGGTCTCAACGTGCTTACCAAAAAGTATAGATTCAAGTGCTTGAGAATATTATGGATTAGGCAGGGCAAGGAAATAAAAGCTTTGATAGGAGAAGAAAGTGAAACCCCTCCCACGTGGGATTTTTTATGGAATTGTCGATTGCTTTTTATTGCTTTGAGTCTTCTGATAATTAAAAACTTAACCTAAACTATTAATGGGAGCAATGATGGAAATTAGCACATGGTTTGGAGTTTGAACTACTAGCTAGCCCAGGTTGTTACAAAAGCCTGCTTTTGAATTAAATTGATACAAAATGCTTTTCTATCTCCTAGTTCATGGTCTTTCACTATGTATGGAGAAAGATTATCTTACTTCCATTATTGTCTATTATTAGAGGTAATAAAATTTGCTTTGATTGAAATATACTTTGTACAGTATTCATTATTTCTATAATACGATACTACTTCAAAGGTCAAAATCTTAATCCCATCAAAAACTAGATCTACCTTTATTTTAGACCCCAGTTTTCTCGTAACCAGAGTAATATCAATTTTACCTGTCATGTCTATGGTTAATCAAACTAAAATATTTGATTTGTGAGGAGTTCCTGAGAACAACTTGTTGCGTCTCCATTATTGTATTGAAAATCTAAGTTTTCATGTTAGGCCATCCCTAGCTGGACGTCCTTTTAATAATAAAAACATTATATTTTTCATCATCTGGTAGCACATCTAAGGGATTTTTTGGTATGCTTTTATCAAGTTATTAGCTGTCCGTGATGGTTAATCTTAAGTCTATAGTGCCGATAAAGGGAACAAAAAAGAACTTAAGTCTATAGTACTGATAAAAGGGAAAAAAGACAAAAGCAAGACTATTTATCCTGCTACAGCACTACTTTTAAGTTCTGCTCAAGTCTTCTATCTATATGAATGTAATCTGAACACGATGGAAGTCCTAACTCTCTATTTTCTTTCCATGCTGTGATGTAGTGATATGGAGACTGAACAGGATGAGAAGTTCAAGAGGTATGAAGTTGAGGCGAGGAGATATTTAATGTCCAAGTACTTTTCAGACAAGACTATTTTTGGAGGTAAATAGTCCGAGAAAGCACCATAATAAGGTCAATTTTACTGAGTATTAAATCACCGTGGTTGTTTTTTCTTCTTGTTGCAGGTGAATTTTTATGATTATTTTGTATGACGTCGAATTGCATTTACTTGAGGGATATTACTTGAACATTCACATGTTTTAGAGATATATTTGTCTATTGGTTCCCCCACCATCCATTGCCTAACCTAAGTATCACTTTAAGTTTAAGTGATATGGAGATTCGCATGTTTGTTGCAGTGCTTCACTTTTAAGTCCTTGTCTCCTTTGATGCATTTGACCTTGAGAAGCAACTAGTGTAAACTCATCCAAACAAGATTTAAGGGCTTTTAACAATGTCAGGCTTTTTTCCTTCCTTTTTTCCCATAAAATATAAAGCGAAATCATTGGAAGAGTCTACTGGCTTACCAGGACATCTTTTGATTACTTTAGTTGTGTCATTCCCTATCATCTGATATTTAGCAGAGACGAGTTACTGGGACACAGACTAGACTGTGTACACAATCAACAAGTGAGTGGGAGTAGAAAAGTAAAAGTAGGCATATTTGAATAACCAGTTATAAGCAGATTAACTGAGAGGTAGTATCTTTGTTGGAGATAATCATGTTTCCACAATTAAGGCAGACCAAATGCCTAGCTCTCCCTTGATTATTACTGAATCAAATCTCTTCTTTTTGTTTAGCTAACTCTAACCTATATATGACATCTATAAATGTGTTATTGCAAACTCAGAACTGCCATGTCTGGATAACCTTTTTCCTATAGGTATGAGTCATGAATGTGCTACATCGTTTGAGTTATAAGAGGCTAGTGTCACTCCGCGTGCATCAGGAAAAGGTTAATACTATGTCATATAGTGTTGGGGTTGCAGTTGTATCCCTATGAATTTCTTAGGTCAATTGCAGTTGGCCTTCTATATTAATCGGATGTACCCAAAGGGACAATTGCAGTTATGGCATTAATTGCTATGAATTGTTTCTGTTGAAACCATTGAATAGTTTTCCTTCCCCGAAGTAGCAACGTGATTATTTTTTGACATGAATCAACTTCAATGACAACTGTTTGCAGGAAACATCTTTGATGTAAAAATGGGTATAAATGGAGAGCAAGTAAAAGTAAGTAGGTGCGTAAGTTTTTTACCATATAAATAAAGTATATATACAGCATGTTAATTGAAATGTTATGTGTTGTGTTGTTGCCTCAACGGCTCCTTTCTTTGTCAGGTTTCCTGGGTACCAATCATATGCAGATCCCGCTAATTTTAATGACGATACCAGTAGCGACTCAGTCTCTACAATGGAAACTCCATCCCAGAGTACTGCTAATGGGCATCAACCTTCCCAATCTTGAAATTTCTTTCATTTGATAGCGTCCTCTTGATCAGTAGAAATCTCCTGGACTTGGGTTAAATCTGAAAATTTTCAAGTAAATCAACTAGCGACTTGTATAATTTCTTGAACTATATGTGGAAAAAGGTAAGCAACTTACTTTGGATTGAGGCATGGTTATAGTTGTTGTATGCAAGGACAAAGATAGCATTCGGAGCTCTGGTTGATTAGTTGCTCCTTACTTAGAATGTGTTGTTACGAAGAAAAATGCTTTCGATAATGTTTTTCAAGAAATAAGTGAGGTTTGAAAACATGCAAAATGTTTTTCGGGAAAATAAGTGAGCTTTTTACTTAATTTTGTGTTAGGTACCTAAGCAAAAGATGTTATTTCAAAAGCATTTGTATATAATATAACAAAAATATTACCCTAAAGCTAAGTTAATCATTTTTCAAGAATTTATTTTCCTAGAGAAAATATTATAGAAGGTTTTAGGAAAGGTAAAGATAGGTTGAAAAAGAACAGGTGGAGGTGATTACACATGATACAGCTTGTCTTCAGCTCAAAAAAGAAAAAGTGATTCATATAAACTAGTAGAATGGAGAGATTATGTTACAGCAGGTATCCATATTGCTTCAGGAAGTAGTTTCTTTAAACCACCCTTGATGGTGTAAGAACGTAGTGAATATTGCCACTCAAACCTCAATTTGTTAATTAAGCGCACCTTCTTACATACGTAGGAAATAAAGGAAATGAGCATTTTTGTTCATCTTCGTATTTTTCAAAAAGAACCAAGCTAAACAACCAATTTGAACATGTGCTATATCCCATATCGTTGATTTTCAAGATTCAAACTACAGATTCAAGAACAATAATTTACAAGTTGGCAAACTTATAATAATAAAATACATCTCACTGGACGAGACAAATTCTGCACTTGTCGACGTTTTAACCAACAACTAGCAAGCTCCATTTAAAATTTCCCCATGATCTGCAATTTAACAAATTCACTCTCTTACGAATATAAACAAATGGAGAGCTCCTGGTTGTGTTTTATAACAGTGATGGGATTATGGTGTACCATTGGCTCCAGAACAAAAGTTAAGTTATCCAAACAAATGTCATAGAGCTTCTCTCCAACCTTTGACCAACCTCCCTTTGGCCATCATTCACAACCTGGTGGCATTTGTGGGGGGGGGGGGGGGGGGGGGCG